TATTTACGATTTATACTTTTATAGTTATTTATTTATATATATATATTATATATTTTGGGGTTAGTCTGTCCAAATTGCACTGTATAATATGTTTTGAATTAATATGTTCTTGGGTTTTTTTTAAATATATATACATGTATTAATTCAACTTTAATATGAGTTTCTGGATAAGAAAGAGGGTAAGCAGTTGAAATTTCATTCTAAAACTCATTTTTTTTGTCTTTTCATGGCTTATGATCTGTTAAATTTGTAGTTTTCTTTATTGGTTTTGAGTGTTTATCTTAAAACTCAAGTTTTTTGGTTCTTTGCTCTTGGTGTAAATCGAATACATTTGTAGAGTCGTTTAAATTTGTTAGATTTTAAATATATTGGATTTTAAATTGTCATACAATTTTTTTTTATCGATAGTTTGTAATTGGAACCATAATTCTTATTTATTCAAATTGTATTAATATGTAAAGACCAAGTGAAACCTATATCATCGTTAAATCTTATCTTATAAAACCTGTGGAACTTCAAAATCGTTAAAATTTACGGCTCCCGCCGCATTGCGCGGGTACACAACTAGTATATATATCATGCTTTTTTGGCTTTTGATTGTTTCCGTATTATGTACCGATTGTTTATGTAAAACCAACTCGAGACTGGTTATTTCCGATGTGTATTACAATGTGTATATTTCGAAGTGTGTCAGGCAACATTGTTTTTCAAAGCATATCACATTATCTATTTTCGTTATTTTCTTGTTTTATGAAGGGTACTACAATGTGCATTTTCTTTATTTTTTTATTTTACAAGGAGTATCACAATATGCGACTTGTATGTATGCATATTGAGAATCACAATGAGTATCGTTTGTACATATCTTCTCTTAACAGATCGACGTTTTTTAGGTATTACAACGTGTATCATGTGTCCACATGGTGTTTGCCGGAAAGATGATAGATAAAAAAATTAAAATACCTAAAATGATTTTTAATTAAAGTTTTAAGTCAAAATTACCAAAATTATTAATTTTCTAATTTATATTTTGATTTGTGGTTAAGATTGAATCTCACCGATTATCACAAATTATTGTTCTAATTAATATTGAGTTTATTATTAATCAATAAAATTATGTTTAGAGTTTCTATAAATATGATTTATTCTATTGAATTTTCAACTGTTACGTTTGTAAACTTGTTATCATTTTGAATTCAGATGTTTGTCGATCCTTCTGCAATTTCCTATTGCATCAGATTTGTGGGTTTTGATTTTTTTCTCTATTTTCGACAAATTAATAAATTAATAAGTTAAATAGTTAGTTGATATTAACGACGTGGGAATAATTAAACACTTGGTAATCAAACCTAATCTCGTCCACCGACCATGTGTGCTTTCAAGACTTGTACTCTTGTGCTTCTAATGAGGGATGGATTTTCATCAGAGTCTTAGAGTTGTAACTTGTAGCTTGTCTTCTGAAATGGATAAATTTGATGACAATGGGCCTCCTTTGGATTTAAACGTAAACATCCATGTAAATAGTAGAGCCCATTTTGTTTTTGTTAAAATGGGTTAGTGATGGTTAAATCGAGTCCGACCGGGATTGGTTATGGTTCGGCGGTCCAATACCGTTTACATGTTTTATTGACTCTTAAACTCTCAATTCTCACTCACTCAGTTTCCTTGAGGTTTCACGTATTTTCTTTCTTAATTACTTATCTAGACCCTAGTTATGTGATTCATTGGTTTGATTGTTTTCTTATAGCCGTAGAACTTATTTGGACTTCGGTTATTTGTCTACTTGAATGGTTTGGTTATTACTATTATTATTAGTTAAGTATGTTTCAAATATCATAACCATCTAGTTAGTAATGTCAACTATCAGTCAAGAGAGACTTAACGGGTTAGCAACTTTAAGGTCAAGAGTTCAAAACTCACCAAAAGTGAGGATAATAAGTGAGGGGGCATAATCAAATGAGAACTGATTGGTTTGTGGTAATTGTGAGGTCCAATCTCAACCACAAATTAACGGATAAATTAGGAAATTAATAATTATGGTAGTTTGAATTAAAATTATAATTAGAGGGCATATTAGGTATTTTAAAAAAAAAAAACTCTTCTCTCCTCTCTCATCTCTCCGACCTCTGGTAAAATCGGTATCACAGTATATTACAACGAGTATTGCATTGTGTATTACAATGAGTATCACATTGTGTATCTTTGTTTTTAAGGTTTGAGTTGGTATCATAGTTGGTATCACAATGGTATCACAATATATCACAATTGAATATCACATTGTGTATCTTTGTAATTACTTGGTACCTACCGGATTAATGTTCACCTGAGGCCGGAGATTGGAGGTCGGAGAGATAAGAGATGAGAAAGGAGTTTTTTAAAAATACCTAATATGTCCTCTAATTATAATTTTAACTTAAATTACCATAATTATTAATTTTATAATTTATTCGTTGATTTGTGGTTGAGATTGAAGCTCACAATTATCATAAACTAATGAGTTCTCCCTTAAATAAACCTCAATAAATAAATTTATTTATTGCATTTGTCGTATATAAATATTATATATCTTAAAAAAAAAAAAAAAAAACTTTTAACATTAAACTTAAGTTTTAAGGAAACATGGACTATAAATGAATTAATTTATGTTTCATGTCTTCCTTATTCTTCTTTGACTCTCCGCCCGCCCTGGTTGACTGTGAATGCAAGATGACGTTTGTTGGTTTACTTCAAGGTTCGTCGGCTCAAACTCTGTACTTGTGTTCTTCCCTCTTAGCCACCAGATCCATCAACTAATCAGCCGATTTGCCCTTGCTTTCTTCTAAAAACTTAAATCACAAACCATGGCCGATCAAAAGGTGTATTCCAACTTGGTGCCGTGGGATGAATTAAGCGGGAAGGTTGTGATGGTGACCGGAGCGTCGTCTGGGATTGGCCGAGATTTTTGTATAGACCTGGCAAAAGCCGGCTGCAAAATCGTTGCAGCTGCGCGTCGGATAGATAGGCTCGTGTCTCTCTGCGATGAGATCAATGGAATCGCACGAGCTGGTGGTCCTGGAACGTCTAATGACGTTGACCCTACCGATAATGTTGGAGCCGTAGCCCTGGAGCTTGATGTCGCTGCTAAGGGTCCTGCCATTGAAGCCTCCGTGAAAAGGGCGTGGGATGCATTTGGGCGGATCGATTGTTTGATCAACAATGCCGGAGTTAGAGGTAATAACTAGATACTCCATATATCTCCCTTGACGATAAGCAAAATCGACAAGACCTTCATTCTAGGTTGAAGCTTAATTTCTTTCAGTTATGTACTTGGGAAAATATATATCAATTAATCATGATAATTTTATGATCAAACGAACATATATATGATGATTCACATGATTTGTCCAAAAGGAACCTAGTAGGAATCAAATCATCTCAGGATCCAGAGGATTGATGGTTAGGTTAGCCTTTTGGCAAATTATTAACGATTCATCTTAGAAATTTATATCAGATGTTAGAGGGGGGTTCAGAGCAGAAAGAAAGTTCATCTAGGAATCAAGCAAGCATATTAGCACATAGATTCACATGAGTAGCTCCTTACCATGGATAAAGCTTCATCCCCTCAGAAAAGTTTTGAAATGGTTTCGGAACCCCCCAAATTATGGATATAAAACCCCCATAACTTACATGTCCAACGAATCTGCGGATTCTTGCATTATCTTTGTATGGTCTCCGATTGGAAGTTTGGGAACAAGATATATGTTTTCCAGCTCTCAACTTAGAAGTAGATTTAGTTCAATTTGGTTCAGTGATGATCAAATAGGAGGATGAATCATCAAGACTATTGTTTTGGGTATTGTTGTGACTCCAATTCTAGTCACAAATTTGATATTCTTGTTCAAAACCTACCAGACTCGATCGATTCAAGATTGATTTATGATCTTGATAGCTTTATGCCTTCAAGTTTCTAGCTTTGATGACGTGTTGCTTTTCAGGTAACGTGTGGAGTCCATTGGAGTTGCCTGAAGATGAATGGGATAGTACCATGAGAACAAACTTGACCGGAACATGGTTGGTGTCAAAGTACGTTGGTAGATTCATGCGTGATGCGAACCATGGAGGATCAATCATCAATATCTCATCTATTTCTGGTCTTGATCGTGGAGATCTACCTGGAGGTCTCGCTTATTCCTCTTCAAAGTCTGCTGTTGTCACATTGTCCAAGGTAACCTTCCTTCAATTCATCTTTGAGATTTCATATCAAAATTAACCCCTTTTGGGTATAATCGAGGTCATTCATGTGTCGGAAACGTAAAAGGGGAAACGTCGGTGTTGGTGTTGTTGAGTGTGGAAACAGTAGGGTGCTTCGTTTAGCAAATAAAGGGGGTTCATGCTGAATCACCCTTGCATAATGCCATTTGTTCTAGTTCTTTTCTTTCGTAGACTCTGATGTGATCTAATCAGGTAATGGCTATGGAAATGGGTGCGTACAAGATCAGGGTGAACTCCATTAGTCCGGGCCTATTTAAGTCTGAGATCACGGGAAGTCTAATGGAAAAAAAATGGCTCAAAAATGTGGCTCGAAGATCCATTCCTTTAAGAACATTTGGCACTACCGATCCAGCATTGACGAGACTAGTAAGATATCTGATCCATGACTCGTCTGAGTACATCAGTGGCAATACATTCATCGTCGATGCAGGTACCACTTTACCCGGTGTCCCCATTTTCTCTTCGCTTTAGATCCCAAATGTTGTAAAAGACACCACACCCGGTGCCACCACGGCAGTAACAATTTGAAGCATATTTTTGCATGTTTTTCATTTAGACTTTAATCGTTATATGATTGAGTTTATAAAAAATGACTTATTAGTTTGTGAAGCAAAGACTTACGACAACATTTGTGTACGTCTTAGAATCACACCTCTTGTTATGCGACTAAACGTCAACATTTTTTTATCAAAACGTTTTTCATCGTCTCCGGACAAAATTGATAATACATGTTAACTGATAGATATTTTTATTTGAATATATTATTAAGGATACAAAAATACAATAAATTATGTTATCTATTTTACTATAAAAAGGGAAGAACAAGTCCATATTAGTTTACGACAATCAACAAGAAAACAGAACGGGATGGCGATGGTCGTTACGCGCTATCTTCAACCATTTTTTTAATAAAACGATACCCTTTTATTCATAATGGGTTTTATTATGTATTTTTATATTTTTCAAGTTAATAATTTAACTAAATATATAAATAATTTATAAAGAATAGAGTAAACTCTGAAAGTAATCCCTCAACACTAACCCCAGTTAAGTTAAGGGTAAAATTGTCCAACCATGTTTTCCAAATACTTTACATTTCTTTTTTGTATTTTCTTATTTTTGTAAAAACAATCAAACTTTAGGGACCAACTATGTAAATAACGCTCGTATATTATATATTTACATCAAGGGGACCATGACGGTTCACCAAAGTGTTGATGATGGTTTACAACTCGACATCTCCAACCATGACATCTCTGGCCGACCTCTCCCCCACCCCATTTTGGTCCGTCATCGTTGAGATACACAAGTGGAGTTTTTTGATCGTCATTGTCGAGATACACGAGTGGAGATTCAAGTGTGATTTTAAACGAAGATAACAGCAGTTTGAACATGTTGACCCGCCATCGTGATGAACTGCCACCAATTGCCGGATTCAAAAGCTATAATGGGTGATGCACAGAAAGCTTACCAGCCTCAGTTTTTGAAGATTGAAGAACACAATTTCTTCAATGGAGATGAACCTTGCAATTTCTTCTCCCAAAATCAAGCTCCAACCCTCCAATACTACTGTCAAGATAACTAAAATTAATCTTCAGTTAGTTGATGAATCATCGACTAAAACATTCTAAAATAAGGGGGATGTATTGAAGCTAATTTTCAGTTTGAGTCTAGGCTCCCACCTTTAAAAAAAACTCCACTCATGTATCTCCATGAAAACAAATAAAAATGGGGTAGGGGGAAGGTTGATCGGAGATGTCATGGTCGGAGATCTCGAGACTGGAGTTGTAAACCATCATCTTACCTATGGTGAACTTTGCGTGTGTGTGCGTGCGTGCATGTAGTCTCTAAAGTTTGATTGTTTTTACAAAAACAAGAAAAGGTAAAAAAAAATTGCAAAAATATGGAGAAAACATGATTGGATTTACTCTTGGCTCTAACTGAAATTTCTAATGGAAACACAAGAATGATTTGTAAACTTGTCAAAGTTCAGATCTTACTTTTAAAGATTTCACTAAACCTCGAGGAACCATAATCAGAGTTTACTCTTATTATTATTTATTTATTAACATGTCAACTGGTTTGTCCATTATGGGTACACATACATATGCAAAAGCCATCAACTTTAGGATTTAAACGTCTACGTAATTAGGAGTACACGAAAGTTATAAGTTATTAATAACATAATAAAATAATTATTATTATTATAAGGGTAAGGAGGTGTACGATAGGTAGTATAAGAATTTTTGGTGTGTAGGGAAAACAATTAAGATAACATAAAAACATATTTTTGAGGGTTTTAAAGATCTTTTAGTAACGGTTTTACTATTATAGACACACAAAAAAAAGACAAACCAAATTGATGATAAACGTAATTTCAAAATTATAGGGACAAAAACATAAACTTCTAATAAATTAGAGGGACGAAAATCATAATTTACTGTAAACAATATAATCAATAATTTAATTTAGAATAAATAATTGACCACTTTAATATGGATACTTCTTAAATTGCCAAAAAGAATCAACCAAATCAAAACAAAATCATGGATAATTAAAATAAGGTTTTAATATTAAAATGTAGCATACAAAAAGCAATTCACCGACAAATGGTCACCTTTTTTTTCTTTTTTTATTAACCTAGATATCCTCCGGCCCGTTATGCATGGCGATTAATCATAGGGCGACCATCTACTTTGAAGATAGCTCGGAGTTACCGTATTTGAACCTTCGTGACCACAAGGAGATTTTTATTTAATTTTTATTGAATAAATTAATAAAAATTCGATTTTAATCTTATGTTTCATAACTAAAATTGATAACATCTAATAAAATAATAAATATATATTACTTATGAAATGAATCGTATCGTATTTTTTTTCCATGAGTTTTTATCGTACATAATATAACAATTTGTTTTTTAAGTAAAAAAACAAGTATTTTAGATTTATATGCTTAAATTCTTCTGCTCTTTACATCTTAATCGATAATCAAATGTATACTTCATACGAATTTTTAAACACTCAAATTAACGATGGTTTTAGTTGTTTGCTTCTTGGATTTTAATTCTTTTATTTGGAAGTATTTAACTAGATTTGATCTTCAAGAATACTACTACTATTGTTTGTTTTATTAAATAAAAAAAAAATAACCGATGTAATCACTTGGACAGTAACGTACCAGTAAAGCTAAGAGATGTAATGGAAATCTCATCTGATCTGGGTTCAAATTCAAGTCTTGTCTAATCTCTTATAGCCACAAGTTTACTTGCGATAATTCCAGATCCTTTGTAACCATCCAGGAGATTGTTGATGTACGCCACAGTTACCAAAAAGATAGTCGTTGCAATTTGAGTAAATAGATGCTAAGATATTTTGCTGACGAGTATCACTATAACTTCATATTATGAATTTCTTAATAATAGTAATTGAACAAGGCGTAATAATACTGTAGAAATTGATCAATTAATTTTTGACATTGATCTTGGTATAACCGATCGTTATGCATATATTTAAATGTAATTTAAGTCGGTTTTATTTGACGAAATTTAAATCAATCATCGTATTTTAATTGATTTGCAAATCTCTAATCTATCAAATGAATTACCGGAATATATGGAAGTTCATTATTTTATTTCAAGTGATTGTCGTTGATTTGTTGCTATTAAATGAAATAACCAATGACACAATAAAAATAAATGACATCGATGTGGACTTTCTTTATAAATAAGAATTAATTAATTGTACCTTCTAGAAAATAAATATAAAATTGCATAAATGTATCACTTTTCCAAAACATTAATTTAATAGGAAAATAAATTAAATAAGTATTATTCATATTAACTTTTTCAATAGAGTTACTCACAAATTTATAAGAATAGACGTTAAAATATGTTTTGACAACTGTTTTGTATTAACGTATAATAATAGATTCGTATGAGATTGGTTATTGTATGACGAGTTGATATAATTATTACGGAAAACATTTCCATCCAATAAAGTGTTTGAGGTTATATATAAGGGTCCGATTTTAACATGTCGAGTGGTTTGTCCGGCATGCGTACACAAACACATACACAAAGCCCCTTTAATTTTAGGATTTACTAGAAGGGTACTCGTGCAGCAAAATGAATCTCGATTTTAATGTTTAGTTTTATTATTTGTCTCTATCAATATAATATGATTTTATGTGGTTTTGAGAAAACAATAATGTTATTATTTTTGAATAAAATATAAATTTGAAGATAACATAAAATTTTGAAAAAGATAAATCGATATTAGTATTAAATTAACTATTTAGTAGTTCTCGTTTTTTTGTGTAATTTCTTTAATTCAATTTTTTTATTATAATTTAATTTAGATTTAGTAACAAAGTAATTTATTTTTGGTTTAATAATATAATTTTTTTTATAAAGATAATAATTAAATATTATGTTAGAATTCAATGATTATCTTAATTATATTTTAGATTTTCTATATTTAATATGGATGTTTATTACGTTATTTGATTATTTTTATCTGCAATTAGTTACACAAATTTAAAAATGGAGCTTTAACAAGTTGTACTTACGCAAAATTATTTGTAATCATTAATTTTAAGTAATATGCATCAATAAATAGTACTACATGCATAAAAATGGTTTTTAAAAGTTTTTATCAAATTTTTTTATAATATAGTATAAATATATGTACATACATACACAAAACCCTTGGAATAATTCAAAAATATATATGTGGCAATTAACTTATGACATGCACAAATTGAAACCCAAATATATGTTATATACGGACGGACTTAGATCAGATAGGATCATCTTATTTGATTTTTGCAGTTAATAATAAATATGATTAACAATCACAAGGATGGTGTTTGATTGGTTTGAGCTTGACTCCGAAGGTCAAAAGTATCAGGGGGTCTCGGTTCAAATCCAAGAAAGAATAAAAATCTTTTTGCGGCCACGGAGGTTCAAATGCGGTGACTCCGGTTATCTGCAAAGCAGGTCGCCGCCTTAAGATTAGTCGGTTCGCATAACGAGTTGGATATCCAGATTAATAATAAAAAAAGATGATTAAGATATTTTTAGTATAAACTATAATAATTAAGACAAACATGAAGATTGTATCTATCGCAAATCATATCTACAACTTCAAACAAATAACGCGTTTTCTGGATTCTTGTTCATGTTCAGTGTTGTATGTTCCAATTAAACTATACACCAATCACTTTAATTCACAGATTATAATAACATTTTCACAACTTTTTGTTGGAAAATGGCATTTGTATATTCAAAAAGGAAGCATCTTTCTTTGTTAACTACTGTTCAAGTCAAGTAATTTGACTTCCCCTAATGCACTTCTTAGTCACAATCCATATATACATCCATATCTGTATCACCTGAAAGTAACCTACTTTCTTCAACTAAACCTTTCAAATTCATGTCTAGTTATCAAGTGGTTGCTAGCACCAGCAGTGAGGATCAAAACCCTGATGAAAATGTTATCAGGGACATACATGCCTTAACCCCATCATCAGTTTCTGTTCTACCTCCACCAACCCACCATCCTCTTGGATCATCTGTATCAATGGTTACAAGTGATCATGGAGCCTTTCGTGATGATTTTTCGAGTGCTAATAGTACACTGGTGGTGGCTGGATCGGTGATAGGGAGCACGGGAGTTGAAAACGATAACCGGGAAGAATATGAAGTTGATTTGCATAATCGTTCAGTACTGTCGCCAGCTAGAAATGGGAGAGAAGTGTCGGTGCCGGTGAGAAGTGTGAAGAAAGAGGAGGTTGAATCGAAAATAATGGCATGGAAGAATGCTAAGATAGCAGAGATTATGAATAGGTTCAAGTGTGAGGATGCCATAATCAAAGGGTGGGAGAATGAGCAGGTTCAGAAAGCGAATTTAAAGATGAAGAAAGTCGAGGTATATATATATATATATACACACATCATCAAATTATACACTTGTTTGATCATCTTTAAATGATTATGATTCATGTTTTCTGGTTGTGCAGAGGAAACTGGAGGAGAAAAAGGTGAGAGCGATGGAAAAGATGGAGAACGAGATAGCGAAAGCGCATCAGAAAGCAGAAGAAAGGAGAGCATCAGCTGAGTCCATAAAGGGAACCAAGATGGCTAGGGTTCTTGAAGTGGCTAACTTGATGAAAGTTGTTGGAAGATCTCCTGTTAAGAACTTCTTCTAATTAAGGTTTGTGTGTGTGCAATAATTAAGGACCCAAACCATGATTAATTAAGATGGCTTCTTCGATCGCCTTTTTTGAGTTGAAGTATTGCTGTACCTTTACTAGCTACCCGAAGTTCATCTTGTAAATTAACGCAAGAAAGTTGTGAAATTGGGTGTGTTTTAGAGTCATGTTTACAGAAACTGTTTAAAGTGTTGTATGAAACGGTTGTATTTTGAGTAACTTATTGATAAAGTCGGTTAAAAATCTCGAGTTATTGATTTCGCCACAACATATAGCAGTTGAAAGCTGTTATATATAAAAGTTGTTAGTATGGACAACAAACAGAAGCAAAGTGATCCACTAGTCGAAGATTTGACTCATAAACAAAGGCTCACAAGCAAGCTTGATTCTTTCTCCAAAAGCACTACCCATATATATATATACACACACATACTCGGAGTTTGATCAAAAAATAAAATGGGCATATGATGGGAAAGAATATTTTGAAAAGGAAAGATTGGAAGTCATGGATAAATGATGTTGTATGGTTTAATTGCAAACCATCGTTGCCCAGAACTGTGGGATTCTGGTTTTGTAAATTAAGGGTCCTGGTCGTTCCATAAGAGATAACACTATATATCATATCTGGTGGCTTTCCAAGTGCTTCACCTAATGAAAACAAAATACAAATTGATATCTCTAAAGCATATGATCGGGTGGATTCGGGTTACTTGAAAAGGCGGTCCTTTTGAATTGGGTTTTGACACAAGGTGGATAGACTCAATGATGATGAGGGTGTCATATGCATACGATCCTGGTAATGGTAAATAGCGATACGGTGGGACCCATTTCACCAAGTGAAGGACTTGAGGAAGACTCTCCATATTTGTTTTGTTTATTCTATGTGCAGAAGGGATGTGTGCCTTGATTCGGAGGGAGCAGAGGCAAAGACAAGGGAGGGAATCTGCATGGAGTAAGAGTTCGTACAGGTGCCCCTCCCCCTCTTATTTCACATTTGCTTTTTGCCGATCACAACTTCCTTCTTTTTTAGAGCAGATATTACCGAGGCAAGAACCCAGACGAATTCCTAAGGAAATGGAGGTGGTGGGATAGCCTGGCCCTGGCTAAGGGCTGTTTGTTTGGCTTTTAATGATGACATTAAAAGCCAACCTCTTAATCGGTAAGAGGTAAGGGTTGTTTGGTGGAAAAAAAAAATAAGCCTCTTAATGGTTACATTAACCTCTTAACCATTTTGTGTCTAAGGCTTCACACAACCATTCAGATTGCATTTGTTCCATCTTTACCCTTCCACACCCCTCTCTTCCAGCCATCGCACGAGAACTCATCGCCTTCACGAGAACTCGTCGCCTTCCACAGCTTCGCCGGTTGTCGCCTCCACCGTCTCCATCACCGGTCGCCTTCCACAGCTTCGCCAGTCGCCTCCATCAAGTATCTTCTGTCTCGCCTCTTTCATCTTCTGCTTTTGCTAACTTGCTAACAAATTCCTTAACAGTAGCTTCACTTGAACACATCCAGTAGGTTATATTTGGATGATTTAATTTGGTTATATTCCTTAACAGTAGCTTTGGAAAATTCTTTCTTCAAGTTTTTTTTTTTCCTGGAACCCTTTTTCTTCTTTATTGAGAGAATTCATTAGTTTTATTATTACAGTTCAAAAGTGGGATTGTTGATTTGTGCTAATGGTGTTGTAGAGTTTATATTTAATCCGAACAAATGTGTTGATTTTGTTTACTCTTGATAGACATTTAAAATTATGGGTTTGGACCGATCAGACATGATTCACCGGGATGAGGTCACCAATCCAAAATTTCCATATCTGCCTAGGACGTTCAAAGTTATCATCATAATCAGTGAATTTGGTTGATTAGCGCAATCTAAGATAGAATGTTGTTTACGTTCAAATTGACTTAGAAATCGAAAGGGTTATGAGAAGAAACAGAGGAACATTGCTAGTTCAATGGACCTTCATTAGATGTCGATCAAAAGGAGATCTTTATCTAAGATGGAATGTTGTTTACGTTCAACTTGACGTTTTGTGGGTGATTTTTGATATGTTGCTATTATTATGTGAGATTCATGGATCTTGTAGAACTAAAATATGCGTAAACTGATCTTATAGAAATTTTGTTCATACAGAGAGTTAAAATGATAATTTATTGTCAATCAGAGAACAATTACCAAACAAACACATTATTTCATTCAGCACTTAACCATTCTGACCACGTGACCATTCTGTACCAAATCATTCAATATAGTGGTCTGGGAAAATCCCATAACTTTTTGGCTGGGTTTGGTTTGGGCCAACCGTTTGACAAAAAGTGGATTCCGTTATTTGAGGTTATAAAAAATTTGATGGGACTGGGCCTTAAGCTTTGGGTCTTGGGCCTGAAATTGATTATTGATATTTAAAACATTATTTAATTGGATGGAAAATATCAACCAACTGATAATTACGATATCATGGTTTGGTTTCAGAGGGGAATTATTCTCCAAATTTATTTACGTCAAAAACCTAAGATGTGGCTTGTTAATTTGTATAAACTAGAACCCGTAAGTGTTCAAAAAATATGTACACTTTTTCATATTCCTTGATCCAAAAAAGTAGAAAAAATTCAATAATTATTGTGTAACTTTAGAAGCATGCCAAAATTCAATGCATGTCGTTATTCATATTTAATACATCGTTGATAAATCATTATCCAGTCTCATATATTGATTGATTGTCGATATGAATATACGATCATTTCTCATCTTTCTTCGGGTTGTTAAGATGTAGACATACAAACAACTAATTTCATTGCAAGCCACGTGGAAAAGACTTTTACTTCATCTTATGAAAGCATTAACGTTTGCTTATATACATATTAATCAGACGAGAACCAGAATAATGTCATTTCATATATATTATTCACATGTAGAACAATACATGCTAAACGCATATACTGTTATTTCATTTATGAAACAAACATAGTTATTTCACATGTGAAACAAAACATGTTCATATGTCTCATATATGAAACACACACACATGAACAATTTGTTTATGACATTTTACAGGCCATGTGCAAATGTAGATCAGGGCCCTCGATAAGTATGGGAAAAAAATCAATAAATATTTTTCACTAATACAAAAATTGAATACAAGAAATTCTAATAATTCATGGAGGAAAGAAGTCTTGTTTTTCTTTATTATAGATAGAAGAGTACTTAAATTTACGTACTTCTTTTTATATAACTAACAATCAAGAGTATAAAAATTATGACTAATATCTTTTTATGAAAAATAAGAATTTCTTTAGTTCATAACAAGAAATATATGTTATTTTGATACAAAAAGAAACTTTGTGTGTAGGAAATAATCGTGAGAGTCAATGAGAGATCAATAATAAAGAAAATCATCAAGATTTTCTAAATAAGTAGATGAATGAGAATCAATAAGAATATGAAAGAAAATATGATACATTGATATCCAATAAGAATAAATAATGAATGAGACATATAATCTATAATCTCAATGGGTGGTTGTTTGAACATCTAAATTAATTGAATCTTGTGGTGTGTAAGAACGTCAACAACATAGAGGAGGTAGGATGGGCAGTTGGTCAGATCTAGCATGGATCGTACATGGTGGAATCCCAATCAAAGATGTATAAGTCAAACAATTGATGAAAACATTTGAATTTCTTTTTCCTACTTTTTTTGCTCAACTAAAATAAGATGTTAAGATTTGAAGTTTATGGAATATCACATATTTATGAGACATTAATAAATACATTTAGTATGAAAATTTTTATGGAATATGACAATTTAAGAGATCGCATCTCATATATATATCATGCTAATCAGATAAAGACCCCCTGAAAATGCATACCATTTGCACCATGAACTACCTTAACGCTATCGTAAGTCCATGTGGATCTCAATTTTATACCAAAAACTCGAGTAGTTATGTGATATATCTTGTTTTCATCATCAATGACCTTTGTTTTTTAGTTCATTATCAAATGGAACAATAACTGATAGAGGATTGTAAATTGTATAATATAAATACTCATTCTCAAGGGTACCTCTAACTACAATATTTAAATATTTGTATTACAAATAGACTAAAGAAAAACTTAGGAAATAAAATTAAGTTTATTTATAAGAATTATATTTTTTTTAAAGTTTATTGAGATGATAAAACTATATAATATTTTAATAATATAATTAATATTGAAATATCTAAAATAAAGAATATGTTGGAGTGAAATGTGATTTTATTGAGTGATTTTGACTTTTGATTCTTTATTTTAGAGAAATTATGTTGAAGATGATATAACCCCTTTATTTGTCCTCTGGAATTCTACGATCAATGACCATCATCTTTTTCCCCTAACCACTGTTGTACTAAAAGGGGAGGATTTGTCTTCCTCCCAGTTGACCACCGTCTCCGTCTATGCCCTCATCTCCATCTTCATCTACATCCCCATTCCCTTCCAAAACCCATTGACATCTTGCAAACCCATACTTAGTAGATGAGTGTAAAGACTTCAAAGATTTAGAGCACCAAATCTTGAATTAAACTCATTTGGAAAATTACTTTATGTCGTTTTTATTCAAATTCTTAAAGCAAACCCAGAACGAAATCAAGTTTTTGAAGCAAACCTAGAGCACCAAATCCTGAAGCAAACAAATGAAATCAAGTTTATGAATCGAGCTTCAAAGTAGAACTTTTGAAGCAAACCCAGAGCACCAAAACTTGAAACGAAGTTGAACGGAAAAGGAGAAGGGGAAGGAGGACGGGGATTGGATAGGGTGATGGAGGCGTTCACAATGGGTGGGGTATATATATGTGTATATAAAATAATATTACATAATATGGTTTTTTCTAGTTCTTAACAGTAAAAGGAAAAGAAAAACCTAAAAGGTCCAAAATACTCCTAACCCTAAAAGCATTTTTTTACTACGTTATAACATGAGGGACTCAAAAAATACAAAAATGCAGACTATTTCATCCTTATATTTATTTTGATTTTAAGACAAGAGTAAGTATAAAATGAATCACAATGACTTGATGTGTAATTTACTCTAAATGTTATAACGTTAAGAGATTATTATCAAAATAGGTAAAAAGTAGAAATTTTTATTATATTAAGAAATAAAATTATGATATAAAATGAAAACTTTGTAATATTTGATATAGATTAGCTTAATTATCTATATTATATTATAAAGTATTTGAAAAAACTCTTAAAATACATTGT